AAAAACATTTTAATATCTAATCAACGTAATTAAGGACGTTAACTATATGAACTAATTAATGATATTATAAGTACAGGAATCAAATTACAATCCCGATAGAGGAGGCAGTGGTAGCTGTCACTTTTGTTTAGTCATTATAAGACAATGTTCAGATTACAATTTTGGTCCCTCTGCTATACTCAGATTTAAAATTTGGACATTATGCATTTTCCCAATGGTCATTGTGTTTTAATTTAATATAATTAAGTCTTATATTTTCAGAATCCATTAGTTTGTCTTAATAGTGAATATTATTAACTACTTCTATTTAAATTCCAACATTAACCTTTCTTAAAAATACTCTTCTTGTATAGGAAAACCCATTTCAATACGATGAATTGGAACGAGTAATATAAATAAAAAAATCAGATTAATATTTTAACTCGAATAATTAATGTTTTAGACTATCTAATAACATTCTAAAAATATCGAAACTAAAATCATGTCAAATGAAAGGATGGTAGAGGAATTGAAACGATAATTTGACCAAAGATAATCTATGTCAAACATAATCATACCTAACACTATATATATATATGTTTGACACTGTTCATTTTATTTTTTACGGATTTATGTATTATAAATTTCAATATGAAATTTATCATTCATGATCTAAATTCTTTTTTATCTAATTCAAATATTAATTAGGATTTGTCAAAAAATATTAATTAGGATTTGAATTCCTTAATGAAATTGAAGTTACTCATAAAGAACATAAATTTCATATGTTTAAGATGAATATCCATTATATATTTAAAATCAAAATTTTATTCGTAAAAAATAATTTAATAGATTATAATATTTTTCAAAAATATAATTACTGTAATATTTTATTATTAATTATAATTATGGAAAATAAAATTTAAGGGTATGTTTGTTTTTTTAGGGAAAAACCAATTACGGAATTAGTTTTCCCCGAAATCCCGTGTTTGTTTCCCGTAATTCGTTTTCCAGAAAATGTTTATCATGTTTGTTTTACGTAATTCGTTTTCCGGAAAATGTTTTTCAGTATTTGGTTGGAGGAAAATTGGTTGGTCAACATAAAACATTTTTTTGGTCAACAAAATTTCCTTTGTGTTTTCAGAAAATGACTTACGGTTTGATTTTTCGTAAGTCATTTTCCGAACTTTTTACTTCAAAGAATAAATATTCAAAATAATTTTATTTTATGAATCTAATATTAATAATATATTTTAATTTAATTTTAATCAAAATATTAATTATTAAAATATTTAAAATATATTTATTAATATTTCTAATAATATAATATAATATTTTTAATATTATAATAAAATAATCAATTATATTATAATAATATAAGATATTATATTATATTTTAATAATATATAATAAATTATTAATAAAATTTATATTATTTGTTAATTTCATAGAAATAATACTATTAAATTATTAATAATGAATAATATTATTATATATTTAATATTAATATAATAATCTAATAATATTTAATAAAGATATTTAAAATATACTAATTAATATTTTTAAAATATAATATAACACTATTACTTTAATAAATAATTAATATAATTTATAATATTTTTATTTCAATAAAGTGTACCAATATTAATATTTTTATTAATAAAATTATAAAAATAATATATAATAATAAATAAATTATTTTAATATTTTAAAAATAATAATATTAAGTTTTATGATAAGTAATATTATTTATTGTATTTAATATTTGTAATAAATAATTTTTAAAAAACTTATCAACTAGTAGAAAAAAGATTTAAACAACATCTTCCAAGCATCGTAAAACGTTTTCAGATGTTTTTCAGAAAAATAAATTAATTTACGGAAAACATTTTCTAAAAATATAATTTATTTTTCAAAATTTAATTTTCAAAAAACAAATTAAACCAAACAAAACAACTTTTCTCACTCTGTTATTTTTTGCGTGAGCTCTCATAAGGAAAGAAAAGGTATTTTAATTAAATACCTCATTTATAATTAAATATTAGGGTTGAGTTTGGTTCACAACTACCAAGTCTCGAACCTTGTCAAGGGTACACTGACAACAACCTAACCATTGAGGACAAGACAAGAGATGTTAAGGTGTCTCGCATATTTCACCTATTTATCCAGTTTCCAACGCGTTTAGGTTCCACTAAAAAAAATGGTATGATGTCCAAATTAGTCTTTAACATTTACTAGAGGCAAAAAACTACTTAAGACCCTTGTACTTTTCAAAAACAATTAATGTGGCTCTCGAAATATTATTACAATCAATGTGATCCTCAAACTTATAAAACAAATCCAATGAGGCACTTTACCAACAATTTTTGTCGTTCATCATTACAGTGATGGCGTGACACTTTATCGTGTTGATGTGGCGATACACGATAGCTAATGATATGACAAATAAGCTAAATTATTTTTTAGTCGAGTTTGAGGGTCAAATTGATTTTTTTAAATTCACGGGTTTATTTGATGTTTTAGAAAAAAATTCTAAATTTAGAATATAAAAATATTAAAAATAAATATAAAAATACTAAAAATACAAATTAAATTACTAGAACATTAAAAATATATTATTATTTTACCTCAAATTTAACTTGAGTTTTATTTATATAATATGAGCTCATCCATCCTATACAAAATTTATTTTATATATTTACCTCTAATTATCTTAAACTCTAAATTTCTTTCTAATTCGATTTCACTAATTTTTTAATTTAATTAAATAAATACTATAAAATCTTATAAAATTTAAAAGTTATAAAATTAAAATTTTATGTATAATTTATCATGAAACTATATAATTAAAAAATATAAAAAAATAGTTATACAATCAAGAATAGTGTTTTAATGAATATAACATGATAGAGTGAAGTAAACTTCACCTAAATTTGATCTAAAAAATTTAATAGGAAATATGTCGTACCCTACTAATTTCTGTTAGATACAACCCTATAAAATTAAGGTAGATATGGAGTCAACGTGTTTGAGATTTTTTTATAACCTCTAATATTTAGTTTTTAAAAATTTTTAAGGAATAAAAAATTTGTCTCTATAAAATAAAATTAAAATAAAACTCACATTAGAATTGACATGTATGAACATAACAATATAATTATACTGCTAAATAAAATAAAATTCACATTAGAATTCTTCTCTAAATTCAATGAATCATCTAATAATAACATTTTCAACCACTGTGGTTAATATATATTTTTAAATTGGGCCTAGAAATTTAATGCTATTGTTTGTAGATAAAATTCGGGTTTTCACATTTTTTTATCAAACATATTAAAAAATAAATTATTCAAATTTAAATTTCAATAAATTAATTTTTTTAATAGTTTATCAAACATAGCCTCAGTTTTCTTTATGGAGTTTTTATATGCGTCGGTAACAACTCACGTCTTTTTAATTCTATCTGATGTGTGTTGTTTTAATTTATATTTATAGCCGAAACTTCATAGAGGTTAAGAAGAGTGTTGGTTATTGTCAAAATTTTTTTAAAGTATTAATTAATATTGAAAATATATATTTTAAAAATAAAAAAATTTACCCGACTCCCTTCAATTAAAAAAATTTATATTTATGAAAAATAAAAACATATTTTAACCCTGTCTTAATAAATTTATGGTTCCGCTCCTATTTGTATTGATCCAATATCTCAAGTTAAAATTGTATTAATGGTTATGGTTTTACCATAGTTGACTGTGGTGATTTGAAGGAAAGAGAGAAAGAGATTAATAATGGGCTGAGATCGAATATTCTCCTATTCAGTTTTGTTTGACAGGTATATATTTCTATGATACCAGGCAGTAAAGTGATTGATGATTATTGTTGGGTTGACAGATGAGTAATAGGGCCAGGGGAGTTTATTGAGGTTTTGATTTTATTTTATTTTTTTGTTAAAATTTATATATTTGATATAATTTTGATCTAATAGTATTTTGGTTAATGTAAAAATAAATATTTAAATTAAAAATGTAAGAATTTGTTAGATATTTAATCAAATAAATACCGAATTAAAGAAGGATAATCTCGTGTTCGCAAAATTTTTAGTCTAATAATAATTTAGGTCATTGTAAGTTTAAATATTAAACAAATTAGGTATTATCTTGTGAATTTTGATTTTTTTTTATAAAACTATGGTGAATACAAGGTAATATATGTATAAAGGCTCTCAACTATTTAACTATGAACGCTCATACTTGTACATATGCAGTGCTCAAACTCGATACCTCAAGGATAACAATAATCCCTTAATCACTACAATCGTTTGGTTAGTGCTGAATTTTGAGTTTAAATACCTAATAAGTTTTTATATTTTTTAAAATAGTCCGATATTTCATCACCTGATAATATTTAGTTCTGACTCCGTCTCTAAATATGACTGTCTAATAATAGATTTAACTGATGATGGATTACCGTGATCATGTCAAAAGATTATAATAAAATGGAAATAATGTCGGATTACCTTCAAATGAGTCATGAGACATCTTGAGAAAATTCCGAAGGGCTCAAACCCCTTGTACTTGTACGGAAGAGTGACAATAGAGAACAAACTGAACACTTTGTTCATGTCTGGTTTGATAGATTTCCGTCTATGTTAACTAATCAACTCTACTGACATGCAATGCAAACCGTCACTTAAGCAGTCTATGTTAGGGTAAGCACGACGTACTTTCCGCCCACTTTGAACGAAAAGAAAGAGCTGAGACGTAGAGATCAGTCTTTTCTCGCTACAGATTTGCATGAAGTTTGTTTTCAGAAGTAAGAACACGCCAGGAACGTACTACTCTACAATGATCAGATAGATTCTACATTTAAACTAAAGTTTTCTCATTCTTAGCAAACTGAAAATTACCATAACCACCATTATCTTCCCTCGCTCTCAAATGGCAATTAAAAGAACATAAGATTATCCTAGTATATACAATAGCAGTCCTATATATATATATCAAGGGATTATGTGTAGTATATATTTAACTTGAAAGATCTGTGCGTTGTGGATGGTGATACGATCAAGGTTGAAAGAGCGCATCCCCACATTTGCATTTCCACGCCAGGAGATAATAGCTTTCATCTTCATCGCCACGATACGTTACTTTTTCGAAGTTTTTCTTCCATTTGTGTGTAGGAATGACAAGAGTAGCCATGCAAGGCCTGCAACTCAAGCACTTGTTCACACAACTGGGAGGCTTTGACCCCAACACCGTTTCACTCTGCTGCAACCCACCTGAGTTCACTGCAAAACCTAAGCTACACATTGGAATATGAGTCAAAATAAAACAAAATTAGCTGAAAGTAAATAACCCCAAATAGTTTTTGAACTTTATTACCTGATGGCATCAGAAATATTGTAATGATCAAAGTCACGGTGATAGTAACTTTGAGGCCATTGGGGCAGACTCTTGATGAAGCGGCCATCAGTGCTTGCTTAATGTGACCAAGTGTTGTCTGTGAGGAAGGGATATTGTTTTGAAGAGGATGGAGGGGTGTATATATATATATATGTTTGAAATAATTTCGAAGTTGTCTGCCTGTAGAAAAGGAGACATGTCTGGGGCAGATGGCTTGTTCACCAATTAAAAGCTTTTCTTCATTGAAAAAAAGCAAGGAAATTGTTTCTCTTTGTACTTCTTGGAAACTGGTGCACTTGACTTTAAACGCTTCAACGACTTCAGATCATTGTTTTTGATGACCTTCCTTTCTTGACTTGACCCTCCGTTATCATCTCACCCGACAGGGAAATATTATATGTGTAGATGGAGATATATTAATGTTACTAATATTACCCCGGTTAACATTTTGTTATTTAATGGTTTCATTGTTTATTTCTATAAAGAGATGGACGAATGAATTTATATTGGGCGTAAACTTAAAAAGATATGTTAAATCGTAAAGGCGTAAAATTATAAAATTTTGAGAAATATTAAATAAGATAATTAATAAAAAGTTCTTAAAATATATATAAAAATATTTTTTTTAAAGATACGACTGTCTCTTACTCGTATTTTACTTGTGACAGTGAGCCAACAGGAACGAGGAAGCTGCTTTAATCTGGGAACTAGCCTTTATTGTATTGTCAAGAGTACGTATATCAATATCAAAGTTTCTCTCGGAACAAAAAAATATATACATTGAAGTTTCTTGGGGCTTCAGAAACCTCCTGTTTGTACTAGAAACCAGCATCATACCCATGCCTTATCCCATACCTTTTTCTTTTTGAAAAAAAAAATCAACCGTCTCTGCTAGGGTGAATGGGATCTATGCAGTTCCATAAATATCAAGATTTAAATTTCATCAACAGTCTAATTTTATGGAGTATCTATGAGTATAGGGATAGACAAAAGGGGGCGGTCGGGGTTAGGAGTAAACATTTGTTCGAGTAGAGTTAAAAAGATTTCGAGTTATTTGAATTGACGAGTCTTATTTTATAACTCAAACTTAACTTGAAAACTAATATACTAATTACTAAAAATTTTGAGTTATTCGAGTTCTATTTTAAAAGTCAACTCGAATTAAAAAAATTTGAGTTGAGTTTATGAAATTACAACTCGAAATCAATTCGAGTCGATTTTTTCAGTCGAGTCTAAAATAATTGTTTTTGAGCCGAGTCGAGTCAAGAAGATTAATTTTCAAGTCGAGTTTTGTTTACCCCTAGGCCCTAACTGGGGCAGTCATATCTATAAAAATTTCAAATTATCATTTATTTTATATATATTTTTTTGTATTTTCTATTGATAATCTGTTTTCACCCATATGATTTTATAGGTTTATCATTCCTATAATTTTATAAGTTCATCCTCTAACATAAAATTTTACATCGGTCCTTATACGATCCGAGTATCACATTCAATCCTATTGAGATGGGAAAAATATCATAATGAATATCATAGAGTAACAACCCTAGGATCAAGTGATTGATGCTTCAATTTAATCCCATATCACAATTATAATATATAAAATCCTGAGTACAGTACTTGTAGGATAACCCAGTGTCTCAGGAATGATCCTTTTTTCTTTTCTAAGATCAGTTTGGTGATTATTGCAGAAAAAGTTTGGTCTATATTTACAATGTGTGTGTATATGTATACATATTTTTGGGGAAACGGCAACTGCGTGTTATTGAAACCATGCATGCAGTGTGTTTATCTGGGGAGGAGCGAAGGAGCAGACAGTGAATTTTGAAGCAATGTCAAGCTTTGCAGGCTTACTCACCAGCAAGGTAAATGAAAGACTGGAAAAACTAAAAAAAAAATAGCAATCTGTGTTAGGAAACTTAGGCTTCCCTCTTCAGCTTCACACTCCATTTTTGCCTTTTGGATATTTCTATTAATCCCTTATTCCCTAATTTTTTTTTTAAATTATATATTCAAAAAATTTGTGATTATTTTTGGATGATCATTTAAGAGGAAAATGATGTAAATAAAAAAAGTTTCTATAATCAAGAAAAAAGAGTATAAACTACCAATTCTGCTTTCTTTTTTCATTATGAAAGAGAATAACTTATGTTCATTGACTCAAAGCAATAGTTCTGTCATTACATATTCAAATGAATGAAAGCAAACACAGCAATTAAAAATGTTACAACAAAGCAGATGGATATTGATATCTAACCATCTTTTAAATGCACTCATAGGGTCGTTGCTCAGTCATACAACCCTTCCTGCTCCCACACATCCACCAGAAAATCTATCATTTCCTGTCATTTAACATGAGAAACACAAAATCAGATAAGCAAGCAATTCATGATTCCATGGGCTTGCTGGTGCTGGGACTTACAGGAAGAGGAATAGGTTGAGGGAATGGCTTGTTGCTTCCAAGTAAACTTTCGTAAGTCGCATTCCAACTGCAAAGCAAGAATTCCATGCACAGACAATGAGTGCTGACAAGATATATATCAGAAGTTGTTTTCCATAAGCAGACGATATTCCATTTCAACATTTACTACCTTAGATACAGGTTCTATACAGACATGCATCAGGATTTCGCTAAAATCAGACTCCTTGAGACAACTCCTAAGACACTCAAACTTTATACAAGCACCATTCATCATGACAGCAATGAATGCTGAGAAACTAAATATCAACATACGCAGAGAACAGAAATGTGACTTAATGAAGGAAGCCCGAGTTTGTGGTAGAAAGAAAGACCAAACAAGCCTCGTATATCATAACTATAAAAAGGGGCCTCACTGTACCGAGCTTATAGAAGATATGGTTCTAAATAAAGCACAGTGGTTAAGGTCATGCTGCAAAGCCCACATGGTTAAGATTGTCATTACTCGTTATTGTATTATTAAAACAATGCTATGATTTGGTAGCAAAACCCATCTTGTCAAGATCAAAGGCAGCTAAAACGTGGAACAATTAAATCTGCTCCCTTGTCCAGAAGATTTGAAGTTGATTTTTTTTGTGTGGAAATAACAATCTCTTCTCCTTTGTCATGTGCCTTTGTACAGCACCGAAGAAAGAACTGAACGGTGATGATAAAATGAAGGTTGCCACATAAATTAGTTACGTGGAAATTGTTTCATATCTAGTAATTCCAGGCAAAATGAAGACTTGATGCCTAGTAAAATTTAAACAATACATATCAGAAAAAGGGAAATGGAATTAATTAACACCCTCTATCTTATTTTCTCAACTGCATATTAACAAATCCGCGCGCAGATCATTTTTCAAGTGGATGAGAGTTCATATGAAGAACTGTATTTGAAATCAAGACAATAATAAAAACACTAGATCAATATTTTCTGACAATAACTCACTTTAGTTTTGGTTCTTGAACCTCTTGCTTCTGATTTTCAGACTTCCTGTTTCCCACCCAGTGCTGCCGAATTTGATTCCAGAGAAGAAGGCCTGCAACCAAGTGCACTTATGAGATCGTGCATAGACAGACTCATCATATTTTAGTACCAAATGAGGTCCAAAGACGACAATCCGGGCAGGAAGATAAGGTGGTTCATAAAGCTGTCAGCCTGTCACATACAAATGTTAATCCAATCAAAGTAACATAAAGGATGGGAACTTGCCATGATTCACAAATTCAGCGGGGGCATTAGCAGCTGCAACACTGCCATGTGGATCAAGTGTCTGGTTGCTTGTGCTGATCGATGAAATGCTTCCCCGTGATTGCACTGCACTGTTATCCATGTCGCAAGTGCTAGTGGTCCAGAATCCTTCTGATATGCTGATTTTCTTGCCTGTCTCACCTTGAACTTTTAGTCCTTTTGATGACTCATTCACCAAGGGATTGAAAGTCGTCTTCTCATAGCATCCTAGACAACCACTGCTCTATTACAAATCACACACAATCATACCAGCTGCCAAAAACTCTAGCTGAGGCTACTATCCCGATATTAAATTCATCGGGAAGATATCAAATGATAATTTCACAAATACACGTCAATATAAAGCATACTGTAAAAGTTATTTATCAAGTATAATAAACAGCAGTAAAAGTTATTTATTTGCAACAAAAATCATACATAAAGATACAGTACTGATACACCTAATAGGTTCATCTATTAGCAAGACAAAGGGATTAGGAGTCAAAGCCTATCCTCCATAAATGCAACACTATGACACTATCCAAATCTTCAACCTGCTGGAACAAAGCTAATTGCGTATCGATCTTACAACTTACAAGAAAGGCCCCTCCAAAAGAAGTAAAATTCATTTGAAAAACTAAAACAATCAAATCCATGATTGAAACCATGCATTGGCCTTGCACAATGATGTCCAGCATGGTGGCTGGGTTACTAAGCAAAACATTCCTCAACAGTGGGTTCAACCATTTAACGATACAAAGTCCTTATGTTGCCATATCAATCTCAACCAAAAATCATCAGTTGCCACTTAATAAAAAAAATGTTATCTGCTACACCAGAATCACTAGACAACATCTGAAAATTTCCCATTTTCTAATCTAACATTAATAGCAACGCATCAAAGTAGCCTCTGCCTAAACCAGTAATTTACAATCATATGATTGTTTGGAAAGTGAGAAAACTTTTCCTTTCCTAGATGTTTTCCTTTTCTTTTTCAAACACAGCCAGAGTAGGTGCCTAGACACCAAATGCAAAAGAAAGTAACGATCAACATAATAAATCCTACAAAATCATATTATTAAAGAGCCAAGATGAGCATGTCAATTACTATATAACAAAAACGAGGCTGCAGGATGAAAAAAAATGCACCATTGACTCAACCACAAACAAAGAGGAACCCAAATAAAAAAACATATCCAACCAAAAAAAATTCAATCTTGTCCGTAAACGCCCATAAAATATAGCAAAATCATAAGAACCAAAAAGAAAAAAGAAAAAAAAGGGAACTTACCCCATATATACAAAACAAGTACTAACAGAAGCTAAAACAGATCTGCAAATCAATGGGAATCTAGTTTCCTGATATGAAACA